ATAATGCTGAATTTGTACTTTTTTTCATCAGACCAGAGGGCTGTGATGTACAATCATGTATCGTTATATATATATATACATATACTAGATACTACATTCACTTCCTACCATTCAAAGAATGAATCTAATGCAGAAGTAACATAAGTACTGTTTTCATTGCTGTGTTGTGATTTGTGTTTTCTGATGTGTATGTCAAACAGGAAATGACGAGTGAGGCTCATCGGCGGGTGGTGGTGGAGTATCTGAAGGCCATCATTCAGAAGCGAGGGCTGTGCTGTACAATCATGTATCGTTATATATATATACATATACTAGATACTACATTCACTTCCTACCATTCAAAGAATGAATCTAATGCAGAAGTAACGTAAGTACTGTTTTCATTGCTGTGTTGTGATTTGTGTTTTCTGATGTGTATGTCAAACAGGAAATGACGAGTGAGGCTAATCGGCGGGTGGTGGTGGAGTATCTGAAGGCCATCATTCAGAAGCGCATCTCGTTTAAGAACGCCGATGAGAGGAAGGAGGGAGCCGAACGGATGATGAAAGAAGCAGAGCAGTTCAAATTCCTCTTCAGGAAACTTTCTGCTGTGAGTCTCACAACACCAGACGCTCTGCAATGAGAAGGAATTATGTCTAGAACATGCTGCTGTAATCCGACAGACATATGGTTTATTGCTTTATGGTAACATGTAACGTCATTTTTGAAGAGCTCTTTGTAAAGCGTGTTTGTATGTGCTCAGGGAGAGGACACAGACCGGCTGTGTGACGCCATCGCTGCCATCGCAGAGGTCTTCAAACTGACCGATCCTGCGCTGCTCTACCTGGAGGTGTCCACCCTGGTGTCTAAATATCCTGACATCAGGTCAGACTTCATTACATTGAAAACATTGTTAAAACAAGTTTTCATTGCTTGGAGAGAGATGACACGTTTTGCGAGATACAAAGGAAACAAAAAAGAGAAATATATTTTAAGCCTGTTTTGATTGCCATTGGGGTTTTTAGCGTTGTGATGATATTTCTGTTATTCTCGTGTTTAAAAACACAAATACAGACACATTACAGTAATGAAAAATTCTGAAATTTGTGAAATGTTTTTGTGAAGTTCAGCAGCCAAAGTAGAGCTCAACTAATTGGTCTTTTATATAATAACACTATCATTAACAGTGATTTGAATGGACACTCAAAACCACCTTTCTCTGTCATTAGAGAGGAGCACATTGTGGCCCTGTTAGCAGTCCGTGGAGATGCCAGTCGAGAAATGAGACAGATGATCATAGAGACTCTGAACCAGAACAAACCATCCTCTTCCTCTGTGTCTCAGCCTGTCTTCAGAGACATCACTGTGCCATCCATCACCATGACCGCCATGACCTCTATGGCTGTTCCCAAACTGCTGAAATAATCAGACCTTTGACCACTAGAGCCTTTACTAAGCCGCTAACAGGCCACCGAATGGAGTATCGGCTCCATTGATGCACTTTGGAAATATATTCTCTGCCATCTCAATGGATGACGATGTGCACTTGAATGGCAGCAGCTTGTTGAGACTGCAGATGCTTAGACGATTTATGATGACTTGATGTACAGAAACATTTTCAGGATTTAGTTTTTCCCTAGCCCGCCCTTTGTAAAATGATTGAAAGATGAATTAAAACAGTAGTTCACCCAAAAGCAAAAGTTGTCAACACTCAGACTCGTGCCGTTCCAAACCCTTCTGATTTTTTGGGAGTTATTTTTCCATATAATGCAGCTATATTGTAGTTAATGGATGTCAAGCTTTAGAAAGACAACATAAGTGTGGTCCACACAAGGTTGTGCACTATATTCCATGTCTTATAAAGCATGATGGCTTTTCGTGTGAAACAAAGTAGCTACAAAAGCAGAACCTTTCAAATTACATTTACTCTCACATTATGTTTCAAATATGGCAATACAGATACACCAGGTTTGTGAGTGTAGTCATCGATGTCAAACCTACTGGTGACAAATAGCAACTTATTTTGTCTGTTAATCACATAAAAACTCGTATATGTTCAGTAGAATTAGAATATAGTATATAGTGCAATTGACAGAATTTTTATTTTTGGGTGAACTATCCCTTTAACAAATCATGAGGTTGCATTCAGCAGCGTTTGTGTGTACATAATGCACAGTTGAATTTCTTTTTCACTACAGTGCGACACATTTAAAGCATCCTGCTGGCTGCTGTCATGAACTGTAACGAACCACTGAACTCCATCACGTCTGTTTTCATTTCGATCAAATCTGGGTTAACACTAAGCGATCGAAATGATTTACGACGTTGGATTAAACTACAGGTCACCTCTGTTTATACGCACACGCATGCCCTGGATCTGCCAGCTCGAGAGGAGGCGCAGGAAACTGGCCTGACTATTTACATTTGTAATCTCTCTTCTCATTGGCTGAGCTCAAGATGAGGGGAGGAGCTCTGAGGGATTCTCACCCGCTTCAGTTTACTTCAGCCACACAAGCAGCGCTGACTGTAGGATGACATGTAATTGATGCAATTTTGTTGATTATACAAAGCAATGTTTTTGATTTGCTGTGTTTAGATTGTAGTACTAGCATATTGCTTACCGTTTTATTTTAAGAATGAATATGTGAAACTATGTAGTACGTCGTGAACGCTTCAAACAGCTGCTTCGCTGTCACGTTACCTCAGTATGTTTCATTTAGACAACTGCGTCCAGTTATCTTAAAATACAAACCGTTTTCATATTTTAAAGGGACAGTTCACCCCCAAAATGACAATTCTGTCATCATTTACTCCCCATCAAGTTATTCTAAACCTGTATGAGTTTCTTTATTCTGTTGAACACACAAGATGATTCTTTGAAGACTGTTGGGAACCAAACAGTACCATTGACTTACTTACACTGTAAAAAATGACTGAATTTAACGGTAAAAGACTGTAAAAATGCTACAGTAAAAACCTGTTAAATGGTTAACGGTAAATTCCCCTATTATATACGGTGAAAAACTGTATTTGACATTACATGTCATTTTACGGCAGTACACCGTTTTTGGAAGTGGAAAAAGGCCGTAAATTGACATTCCCAGAATTCCCTGCGTTACATTTCAAATTTGATGTTTTTTTGTTGAAATAACTATGTTTGTTTCTTAGATTTTTTCTTATCAGTTTTGTATATTAGGCTTGTGTGTTACACCTAATGTTGTTAAATGAATGTTTATTGCAGTATTTCAGTTTCATGTGTGTTACCGTGATGGTGTTTAGTGTTTGTGTGAATGACGCTGTGCACCTTCTATATATGTTAATATTTAAAAGCTGCTTGTGATGGGCTTTGGTTCATCATGTGACTTTCTCATCACCACCTGCATTTGGTGGTTATCAGTGTATTACAAAGGTACAAAACAGATTTCAGTACTTCAATAGGTTGGTATATTAACATTATGTCAGTTAATGGAATTACGGTATTTAACTGTAAATTAAGTTTAAACCGTAAAACCTAAAATGTTGCTACCGTATTTTTTACGGTAAAATTCCGGCAACCACAGCTGCCGTTTTTTTACCGTCAATTTTACAGATTTTTTTTCTTCTCCTAATATACAAGTCAATGGCTACCTTCTAATCAAAAGCAACACCACAAAATGTTTTTTTATTTATTTATTGCTAATATCTCAACAGAGCTGATCAATTTGCCAAAAAAGCAAATGTGATCAGATTAATTTGACCTCAGTACGGATTAATCAACATTTACATATGAAATACAGTAAACGTAAACTCAGAGGCAGATATCAAAACCTCGTTCATACAGTACAGCTTCATAAATCAATAAAAAGTGTAATGAATACAGCCGAGACAGGTTTCAACCTTGAGTAGTTAGCTCCCTTTAGAGTCTATTTACAGATTAGTAACAATTTACCGAACGAAAGCACATTTAAAAACCTGCAACTCACTGTTGTGGAAAGCAACTAACCATAAATGTGCTGAAAACACCTGGACAAGCATGAAAGGCCTTGAGCCCTTCATCAAAATCTCTTGAAAATATCAAAATAAAATTTATTTTCTCAATACAAACATGCCAAATCAACTTATATATATATATATATTTTTTTTTTAAAAGGGCTGCTTTGGCAAAAATCGCAATAAGATTTCAGAAATACAACTTTGAGATTTTAAATACGTACTTTAACACAAAGAATTAATAAGACTCTTGAAATTATTTTCAATACACTTCCAGCTGCTTGCATGGCAATAGGCACAAGCGTTCGCCTTCTGGTTCTGTGACAGTTTGCAAGAAAATATTTAACACACAAGCAAGATATTATGATGCTCAAAGTTGTCATTTCCTCTAACAGTGCTTCAGGATGAACGTGTATGAAGGATTATGTCTGACTCGAAACACTTCAAGCGCAGAGTCTGAGTCTGTGAAGGCTGAAGCTGCTCTCCAGTGGTCAGAGTGAGTAAATGAGAGGAAGTACTGTAGATCTGGCTCTTTCAGTGCATTTCAAACACACCTGGCTCACGTGTTACATGTTGTAGTGCATCGCGTTCAGAATGAGAACCGGGTAAACCAGCAGCATATAATGTCACAAGAGCATCATTATAAACCACTATCAGCAAGAGAGCAAAGCATATCTTTAACAACAAAATGAACTTCCAAAATATTCTCTTTTTTTCTCAGTACTTTTCTTGTCGTTTTCTCTTGTAACATGTATAAAATCCTATAAAGATTCACCCGTCAAAAAAAATAAATAAAAATACTGCACTAAAGGACTCGAGTTGAATTTTCTCATTAACTTTGCCAGACGCTGCGAATGAGAACATCAGCTCGTATAAAATCCTTCTGACAGCAATAAACTAATCTGAGCCTAAAACAAAAATCCTATTTAAACTATAACATTAAGATAATTAAATTTCTAAGAGAACCCATTAAGTTTAAGCAACTGGTCTTGCATTGGCTATATTTTTTTGCTCTCCGGACAAGGATGCTTATACAAACAGAGCAGAAGTCTATCTCAAGGGTCTCTGGAATCGCTGGCTCGCCGGGCTTTGGTCCCCTGCTCGCTGTCAATCGGTTTTATCTAATGCTTCTGAGGAGTTTGGGGCAACGTACTTCAGCCGGAAACCACCTGAAACATATAGAAAGGGGTTTACGAGTGCTAAAAGTATTATATGGAGCTAAAGAATAAGGCTGGAAAAAAGTATCTGGCACAAGCTCAAAGCTTGTAAAAGAAGTATCAAAGCACACATGTATGTAACTCTCTCGCCCCCTTGAGGTTTTCAACTGTCACAGCAACACAAAAAACATCTAAGTACATTAAAGGGGTCATATGATGCTTTTTTAAAGAGCATTATTTTGTGTATTTGGTGTAACAGAATATGTTGACATGCTTTAATGTTCAAAAAACACATTCTTTTTCAAATACTGTACATTATTGTAGGTCCTCTATGCCCCACCTCTCTCAAACGCTTCGTTTTCTACAAAGCCCCTCCTTCCGACAAGCGCAGTCTGCTCTGATTGGCCAGCTGACCCAGTGCACTGTGATTGGCCGAACACCGCAAGCACTCGTCAGAAATGTAACGCCCCTTACCATAATCGCGAGCTTCATCTTTCAAAATAAATGTAAAGAAAGAGCCCGAAAGCGTGACAGACACAGTGATGAAGCTGGTATGTGTGCAGTACAAAAGCCACGGTTAAGACAGCTGACTCCACTGTGATGTGACCCTGTCTCTCTCTCGCTCTCTCTCACACACGCACACACACACGATGCGCAATACTCCGCATTTAAAGTCAATAGCAAATATTTAAACTAATAACAAAACAGTAGCTGATTCAGAAGCGCCAGATTGTCATAGCAAAGTCAGAATGACTTCCTCTCCTAGGTTCACGAAACAGTCGTCCATAAAATACATTGCTGTTCTGTTGTAAGTAATCTTAAAGATTCCTAAATGTATCTACTTTCGGAAGGCCAAATAAAGAGCTTTTGCTTTCGCCTAGAAACACACAGCGTCTCCCTGACATGGCTACTTCAACACTAACTGCGGTTACTGAAACCACGCCTTCTTTCTTTGCGTGAACATTTGGGCGGCGTTATGCAAATCTTCCCACATAGTGAGGTAGACATGTGGGGGCGTGTTAGAACGAGCCGTTTTAGGGGGGCGTGACTGACTCTTAACTTTGATAAAGAATATCTCTTTGGATTTGAGACTTTAGTCTTTGTAACTTTACAGATCTTCTTTATGCACCAAGAGCTTGTAACACTCCAAAGATAAAGGAACAATTGAAATCACATCATGTGACCCCTTTAAATGAGAATGCCTTTTAAATTGTAATTAAATTGTGTAATCGTGTACTAGAAACTTTGTATTCTTCACTCATTGTCACTAATTAACCAAATTATTATTGTTTAATTCGCTCATAAAGAGTTAGATAATGCTTTGTTAACAACCTATTAACCATAAGTAGGCCTAGTTCTCTCTTTAGATTAGGTCACGGAAAATGTCTCACACACACTCATATATATATATATACACATAGTATGGAACGATATTCCGGACAATTTTTAAATAGAATACAATTTGCTATTTTCAATTGTGTTTTCAATATGTGGACGCATAAATTGTGACATAATCCAAATGCAATTGCAAATCCTGCATTACAGTTTGCATTTTCGCTTTCGCGAACGCACAAGTGACTGCCAAATTTCAAATGAAAAAGCAAAGTCCATTTGCAACTGTATTTCCCATGTCTTAGGAGTTACGAGCCTGTCATATTTAATAGGGATGCACGATATATCGGCCACCATATCGGTATCGGCCCATATCGGCTCATTTTTTCTGTTATCGGTATCGGCCTGATAAGAAAATTTGGCCAATATCTTAAAGCCGATAAATAATGCATTATTTCCTTCAGAGACACTTCAGATGCGCGCTGTTCGTTTGCAGCCTTTTGTGCAATTGTACCTCAGTCTGTTTACGATCCGATAGATGCATGTGACAAAACAGAAAATGCTGCTACTCTTACTCTACCTTCCCCAGATGACACTTCAGCAGTCAGATCTAGGTGCAGCGGTCACAGAACACGCCACAGCCAAAGCAAGATAACATTAAAAATTACGTGCATCAATCGCGGTGTCCAGTGGCTGTAAATAGTGAGAGATCTTGAGGCAGGCGCAATGGTTTGGTGCCATGGGACGCA